GGTTCCCCAACATCTCCCACTTTCACTGGAAAGCCTAGATTTGGAGGAGAACAAGATTGAACGTATTAACAAAGAGTCTTTTGGGAATCTGACACATCTACGACATCTGAACCTCGGGTGGAACTGCCAAAGATGCGACCATGCGTCCGAACCTTGTTTCCCATGCCCGAACAACCAGTCTCTCCATCTGCATCCGGATGCGTTTCTGCATCAGAACGACTCTCTGGTCAGTCTGAGTCTGCGAGGAAACTCTCTTCGTACACTTCCCCGGCGTCTCTTCCTGCAGCTACACAACCTCCGAGATCTGGATCTATCCGACAACTTTCTAGCCTACGCCATACAGAATGGCTCCTTCTATGAGGAGCTCCAGCATGTGGTGTCTCTCAGTCTGCTGTACAACTATGAACCCCTAAACACCTTCTCTGAGCTGACTCTGTCCCCAGCCATAGAGAAGATGACGGCTTTGAGAGAGTTGTATCTGAGCGGATTATTCTTCAAAGAACTGTCGGACCACAGCCTCGCACATCTGATCAAACTCCCTCGACTTGAGTCCCTGGAGCTCCGCATGAACTTCATCTGCTCCGTTAGCATTGATTCGATTAGCAAAATGAGGAAGTTAAGAAGGGTGGGCCTTTCCCAAAACATGCTGGCTTTCAGTCCATGCTTCTCAACCTGCAATTCTGAAGACAACTACCAAACCCTCGATAAACGTCACGACCGTGGTCGTTACAACTTGGAAATCCCAGAAGTCCCAGAGCTGAACTCTAACGACGGAGATCTCTGTCCTTTTTCCTACTCCATGTGGCATTTCAAAAAGCAGATCTGCTCCAAAAGCCTGTTTTTTGACCTCTCTCAAAACAACATCCCATGGCTGAATGCAAGCACTTTTAGCGGCATGGAAAACGTGGTGTGCATAGATCTATCCTACAACTACATCAGCCAATCTTTAAACGGCCAACAGTTCTCGAGTCTAAGCAAACTAGCTTTCCTTAACATGGCGCACAACCGCATCGACCTGTACTCTGAAAAGGCGTTTCGAGAGGTCAGCGGGACGCTGAAAGCTCTCGATCTCAGCAACAACGAATTCCACTTTGTCATGAAGGGAATGGGACATCGCTTCACGTTCCTTTCGCACCTGACGTCTCTTAAAGTACTGAGTCTAGCGAACAATCACATCGGTTTGCGAATCTCTAACGTTCTTAATAGCACTTCCCTGAAGTATTTAGTGTTCTCGGGAAATCGTTTGGACATAATGTGGGACTCGAGGCGTAACCAATACGAGCATTTCTTTCAAGGTCTTACTAACCTTACGCACTTGGACATTTCTGAAAACCATCTGAAATCGTTCCCCCCGGAGGTGATGGTCAACTTGCCTTCGAGTCTCCAGGCGCTCCGAGTCGACTCCAACTTGCTGAGCTACTTCCCCTGGGCAAACATCTCCGTCCTCACACGGCTCTGTTTCCTGAACCTCAGCTCAAACATGCTTTCCTTCTTACCTTACATCCATTTTCAGCTGCGTCTCGTAAGCCTGGACTTAAGTCACAATCGGCTAGTTGCAATCCCAAGGGTTTTCCTCAGTCAGGCCGTACACCTTAAACACCTGATGCTCAACCACAACCAGCTGAGGATCCTTGACGTACAGGCGCTTCCCTTGTCGTTTCATAAAGGCGATGCTTTCTGTCCGGCTGGGGGGAATAATAACGCGTCCTCCTGCAAACTTGTCCTGCATGCCAATCCTTTTATTTGTAGTTGCATTATCTCCGGCTTTGCCAAATTCCTCAGAGAAACTGAACTGGATATCCCACACCTCACCACGCAGGTCCACTGTGCCTACCCAGAGTCATTGGCCGGCGTGAACGTCCTCTCGGTGGACCTTCGCTCCTGCCAGGAGATATTTGGGGGATTCGCTCTACTCTGTACGTTATTGTTGACGTTGGCCGCGACCGGGATTCCCCTGTTAAAGCATCTCTACGGTTGGGATCTGTGGTATTGCATCCAGATTTTATGGACTGGACACAAGGGACACACTCCAGCCAACGGGAACACGGCCGATAACCAGTACGATGCGTTTGTGGTCTTCGATACGAGCAACAAGGCCGTCAGAGACTGGATCTACAAGGAGATGATTGCGAGATTGGAGAACAGGGGGAGGTGGCGCTTTCGGCTTTGCCTAGAGGAGCGGGACTGGTTGCCTGGAGTGTCTTGCATAGAGAACCTCCACCAGGCGGTTTACAGCAGCAGGAAGACGGTGTTCGTGTTGACCAGCCCTAGTGGCTACACTCACGCAAGTGGCATTGTCCGACAAGCCTTTCTCCTGGTTCAGCAGCGGCTTCTAGATGAGAAAGTGGATGTTGCTGTTCTCGTTTTGCTGGACCTCGTCTTCCCCAAGTTCAAATACCTCCAGATGAGGAAACGGCTCTGTAAGAAGTCCGTCCTGTCGTGGCCCAAGAACCCGCGAGTGCAGCCGCTCTTCTGGAACGACTTGCGTGTCGCTCTTGTTTCTGACAATGTCAAAGCCTACAACAAAAATGTCACCGAGGGCTTCTTATAAAAAGGCTAATGTGTATTGAGAATATGTAGTTTATATGTATTGAGAATATGTCTTTTATGTCGTCCTGTTGTTTAGTTGATTTTTGGTCGGGGATTGTGGCTGTGTAACAGTTTAAAGTCCCCCTGTAGTCAATAATTGTGTCCCTTAAAACTCATCTTCGAGCACCAAAATTTGTTAACATATTTAACCCTTTTTATTATGTTGTGGATCAGTTTGACTGGTTTAAAATACTGGCTAACCTAGGATATATATATATATATATATATATATATATATCCTATAATCTCATATATATATATATATATATATATATCTCCTATAATCTAGGATATATATATATATATCCTATAATCTCATATATATATATATATATATATATATATATATATATATATAAAATTTCACATATTTGTAATTTTTTTTCACTTTTTTTTTATTTATTTTTTTACATTTTGTAACTTTCTCATTTATGGTCATATGGACGTGCCTGCAAAGTTTTGACTCTTTTGTGTGTACATAATTTCTGACCATTTTGATGTTCGGTCAATTTGACCTACAATTTCATGATTAACCGTTGCAGCTGACCTGACATAAAAATAAAATAAGTTTTGTTTTTTTATGTCTGTTTCTCAGCTACCTGGATGGAAAATGTTTATTAGTTCAGGAATGTTCATTTCTTTGGGAATCGAGTGGATGGTTTTGGCGTAGTGAGCACCATGCTCTTCTATAAAACACAAATAAAACAAACATAAAAAACAAATATATATATATATATATATATATGAAGAGTTCAGATGCAAAAGCCTCTAAATGCCATTTGAAATTTTCTTCTAGAATGATGATTTTTATCAAGCTTGTATATTTAAGTTCAGTAATTTCACTTAAATGGCAATGAAGATTACCTATTAATTGTCATTTAAGTGAAATTACTGAACTTAAATATACAAGCTTGATAAAAATGATCATTTTAGAAGAAAATTTCAAATGGCACTTAGAGGCTTTTGCATATTTTTCATAATTTGTGTTCAATCCAGTTAAGGTCAATTCTACACCTTAAAAATTGTACCAAGAATTCAAGCATAACACAAGTGTACAGAAGCGGATGACTCCTGGAGATGAAGCTCTTCATCAACATGCCGTTTTCTGCAGAGGGCATCTATTATGTAAGTCTGCTTTTCACTCATATGTGCCATTGACTTTTCATTTAGCATTTTTTTCATTCATGGTATAAAAATGAAAGACTCTTAACCTTTAACATGTGAACATCTGTGTAAGAGCAGAGGAGGGCAGTGTCCCTGATGAGGAAGTGATGCAGCTGTCGACCACAGCGAGCTCCACACACACACACACACACACCACACACGCACGCACGCACGCACGCACGCACGCACGCAGTTCATCTAAAATAGCTCTGCAGTTTCTAGAGCTTAGCAGTCCATTCACTTATAAAACGGCCTCTAAAGACATAACTGTATATATATGTTTTTGCACATTTATTATATTGTAAGATTGTGACAATTGTGTGATTTTGCTGATAATTTACTCACCCCCGTGTCATCCAAGATGTCCATGTCTTTCTTTCTTCAGTCGAAAAGAAATTAAGGTTTTTGATGAAAACATTCCTGGATTTTCTCCATATAATGGACTTCAATGGGAACCAAATGGGAAAGAAATGGACCTTGGACTGTTTGGACCCCATTGAAGTCCATTATATGGAGAAAATCCTGGAATGTTTTCGTCAAAAACCTTCATTTCTTTTCGACTGAAGAAAGAAAGACATGGACATCTTGGATGACACGGGGGCGAGTAAACTATCAGCTAAAGTTTTTTTAAAAGTGAACTACTTTAAGGCGTTAAAGAGTCGTCTGGAAATAACATGCTCTCGAGACTTATTGTTTGACCAAGAGTATTTACGTAATTTCATAGCCAATTAATTATTATTATTATTTTCATAGTTACTTTCTTGAATCCGATTACATCTTTACTACAATTTTGACTATTTCCGCAATGATATTTACACTTTATAAAAGTTCACTTCTGTTTAGTATGGGATATATATATATATATATATATATATATATATATATATAGTTATTATTATTATTATGAATATGTAGAAAAAGTAGAATAGTGTGTAACTCTTGCAAGAGACATAATGTTGCCAAAAAAAGGAAGTGGTACTAGTGATCATATTTTTTTCTGAAGAAAAAGGTGGTTTTCTTGAATATTTAATAATTCGTGCATTAGAGGAGTGTCTTGAGGCGTGTTTGTTGTTTTCTGCTGTACATGCATTGGCCAGTTTTCATCACAGGGCTAGAATTTTGTTTCAAATGAACTGCTTAGCTTAAACATATGCGTTTTTGCTCAGGTTTCCATATTCTGGAGGGCTAGATGAGGGCATGTATCTCGAGTTCTGGCTCTGCTTGATTGATTGTCTGTTTGAGATATGATTTAGTGATGAATACATCTCTCTTCCTCAAGGAGGACAAGCCTCAGAAACACACACACACACACACACATGAAGCCTCTCAGCAGAGTGACCCCATGTTTTCTCTTCATGTACAGGCGATCGGACACACACTTACACGGGCTCGTCGTCACACACACACACACACCATGCATAACCAAACTTAGTGTATTTATCAATTGCCTAGAAGTTAGAACCATGAGAAAAAGGTTCACTTCCATTCTTTCAAGGTAAATCTAGAAAAAAAAAAAGTAAACACTGTTTAAATGAAACAAAACCACATAGTAATAGGCCACTAGACGTGTGAAATTAATGTGGGAACAAATAAATCCTCTGAACCTGAACTGAGAAAGTCTAAAAGCGTTCTGTTGTCTGATCGTCGAGCATCGACTCGGGTTACAGAAACACTTCAGTCATTCTGCTGGACTCGCACATGTCAACATATTCTACACACCCGAACCTGCGATGAATTATTGACGAGGTCCGCCTGAGAGCGTTTAAAGGGCCAGATCACATTTGAGAGGGAAGGAAGCCATAGAGATAAAAAGGAAAAGAAAATTCAATGAATAATAGATGAGACGGAGACCTGTTGCTCTGCGATGACATGTATAGAAGAAATGAACAAACACACATGTAGCCGAGCCATCACTAAAGTCCGAGTTTATGCTCTGTTAAAGTGAGCTCGAGGGGATCGTTCTTCAGCTCGGAGAGCGGCGGAGAGAGCTGAGAATGACCGGCCGGCACCCGTGCTTCTATCGAGTTCCCCCGCAGGAGTTACACCACAGAACCCCGCAGCCCGGAGCCGTCAGCGCCAAGGTCAGATCCACACACACACACACCATTAATACAATATTGTGAGAGACACTATCTTTATGTCGAAAATTACACTTTAAAGGGATAGTTCACTTTGAAATTAATTTTTGATATGTTTTAGCTTGCCTCAAGATGTAGCTGTCTTTGTTTTCACAGTATTTTCAATTTTGATATTTTTAGGTCAAACCGTTCTTGTCTGTCAGTCATATAATGGAGGTCTATGGTCACCACCTCAAAGAGCATGCACAGAAGTTCAGATTAAACATGATTACATTATACATTACATTTACATTATAAATTTAAGTACAGATTGATGGCCTAAGACACGAAACGAGCAGTTTGTGTGAGAAAACGAACAGTATTTATATCGTTTTTACCTCTTATAACAACAGCCATGTACAACTGATGTGAGGGTGCGGGCGCTTCGGTCTGCGCAAGTGGTGAGTCTCTCTCGCGTGTGTACGTCACTCATTGTTTACACAGAGATTTCAGAAGTGTCGCCCTTCACTGTGGAGATCTAAACATATTTAGACACACAGGAAATCACAATGGAAGACGATTTCGATATATCAACAGACAACTAACCTAACCCTACCCCTAATGTTGATTTTTTTTTTTTTCCCACAACCGCGTGAGAGATCACTTTCGGCGCATGTGCAGACCGAAGCGCCCCTACCCTAAGATCAGTTGGACGTGGCTGTGGTTACACGAGGTAAAAACGATATAAATACTGTTGGTTTTCTCACACAAAGCGCTCATTTCGTGTCTTAGGCCATCAATGTGTACTTACATTTACGAGTCATTAAATCATGTTTAATTTGGACTTCTCTGTGCTGCTCTTTGAGGTGGTGACCATAGACCTCCATTATATGACTGACAGACAAGAACGGTTTGACCTAAAAATGTCAAAATTGAAAATACTGCGGAAACAAAGACCCCTACATCTTGGATGCCCTTGAGGTAAGATAAAACATATCAAACATTATTTCAAAGTGAACTATCCCTTTAAGAGAACGCAAAACCCTCAATACTGGGTAGGCTTGGCGACGGAAACATGAACCGTTTTTTGTATTTGAGTAATTTGAGTAGAAAATGAACTTCATGTCACGAAATGGCCAGTTACTAATCCGGACAACACCAGCACTGATGAAACAGCTGGACACAGTGAAAATCACCTCAAGCCCCATGCAGTGCATGATGGGAACTATCAGAAAAGTTGAGTAATTAATAACGTTGATATTTACGCTTGCATTTCTACATGCTTGAATTAAGTACTAATTTACTTTAGTTTTTTTAATTCTTGAACTAACTTTTTCATGTAAATGCCAGTTTTTTCTGTAGTAAGTGTTTGCTTCAGCACATAGTCATGTTCATCAGGGCTTGCAGTCGGTCGGGCTTTAGAAGTTATCGTTGAAAATCAATTTCCTTATGGAGAAAATGTATGTATTTTCGAGCTATATTTCAATCAGTCCTGACAGGGTGAAGTTTGAGTGTTTAATGTAACGATACCTAATTAATGATGATTATTAAAATGCGTCACAGAGAGAGCGAATCTGCGCACCAGTTAACCGGTTGAGGGACTCGTGAGGAATTTATACAAACCAAATCTTAAAATCACACAATCTCCAGATACACTGAATAATTCAACACTGATCCTATAAGCGCACTAGGAGATGATGATGATGATGATGATGATGATGGACTCAGTGCAGGACTGGCAGTGTCCAGCAGAGGGCGCCAGAGAAGGGGTGAAGAAGTGAATCCATGATCCCTCTTTGAGCCGGAACACATTCATCTCTTCACACCCCAGACAAACACATAATAAAACATGTCATGAAAATGAACAATACATGCATCAAGACCTTCCAGTCAAACGTTCCCAAACTGCAATGTGTGTGTGTGTGTGTGAGAGAGAGCAGAATCTTACTATTGTAACTTTATATGTATTCTATTCTTAATAAAGTGTATTCTGATGTGAATGTGTGTTTCAGAGAACATCCCCAGCTTTCTGTTATGAGCCTGATTTCATATGGAAGGTACAGTAAACACACACACACACACACACACACACACGCACTTCATTGATTGCTTGGTTAAAAATCATTTTGTCCTTCTTCCTCCTCCGACATCACGTCTCTTCTCTTCTTCTACTCGTCCCACACACACACACACACACACAGGACACCAAACTGGCGTCACTGGAGAGGAACATTCGAGACCTGGAGGACGAGATCCAAACCATGAAGACAAACAGGCTTTTACACACAGACGGCCGAGGAGAAGAGCTCAGACACGTGGAGGTGTACAAGAACCACTCCAAGTTCATGAAGAGCAAGGTGACAACACACACACACACAGATGGAGAGAGACACACACTGAGGGATACACACACACACACACACACACTCTCTCTCACCGAAAGCTCATTTTTTAAGAAATCAACCTCAAATTCAAAAACTTGTCTTTCTAGTATTTTTCTAACGTTTCATAAAATGAAAATTTTATATAAAATAATGTTCATAAATAATTTTCATAAATATGAAATTATAGCTTTACAATTTATAACTTTTTTTTAAAACTTTTGTTTTTTGATAATCTGCCGCGGGTCAGTCGCGAGTGTGTGTTTCTGGAGTGTGTGTGTTTCAGTGTGTTTGGTGACTCTATATAGTTCTCAACTGATGGGTGCCCATGTCTGTTGTGTCTGTTTATCTGTCTCAGATTGATCTGCTGAAACAGGAAGTAGTAAAGAAAGATTCTGATTCGACGACACTGCAAACTAAGCTCGAAGCGCTGACCAATCAGAACTCAGACTGCAAACAGCACATCGAGGTCCTGAAGGAGTCTCTGACAGCCAAAGAACACAGAGCGAGTGTCCTTCAGGCCGAGGTCAGTCCACACACACACACACACACACACACACACATCTTTGGCTGCATGCCATCTCTTCAGCTCATATGAAATATAATATTTATTCATTGGACACTAAATATGTTTTCTGTTGTGTTTTGTTTTTCACAATCGAGCGCTGGACCTCTCGGAGTAACCCGATCCTCAGCTCTCACATCTCACTGCATATTTAATAGTCTGAAACGCTGTAACCTGCATATTTATCAGACTTGAATAGGTGTCTATTATGATTATAAAATAGCCAGGAAACATCTTAAAGTTCCATTATTCTGTTCTGGCGTCTCCTACAACAGATCCACATTCATCCATGATCACACACACACTAATGTCCTCATGATCTCCAGCTTCAGCTCTTTCTCTCAGTGTCTGAAACGCTTCCATTGGAGATTCAGCCTCTCTAAGCCCCGCCTCTCTGAGAGCTGCTCTGCTGTGATTGGTCAGAATGCTGAGTCTCAGCTCTTGATCACAGTGATGCGAGCAGTAACGATGGCGAGAGTTTTACCGTCTCACTCTCAGAAAACACGAGCCGAACTCTCCCAGTCTCGGATACACTAGTGTTTGAGGGCGGGGCTAAGAGACGCTGCTCAGCCAATCAGGATCAGAAGAGGGAATTATGCAAATTATCTACACAGGTTCAGCAGGAGGAGGTTGGGTTACACTTTATATGTGGGAGATTTGGGCTTGTCTTGAGTTCCACTCGCTCCATCTTTCACTGCCCACGATTGATTCCCTGTTGACTTTTATAAAATAGTGATAAATAAAGCCTTGTTTGAGGATTGCTTTTGCTCCTGAAGGTGGACGCTCTGCGTGTGCGTCTGGAGGAGAGAGAGTCGTTCCTCAACAGAAAGAGCAAACAGATCCAGGATCTTATAGAAGAGAAGGGAACTCTGAACAGTGAGATATGTGACCTGAAGGACATGCTGGAGGTCAAGGAGAAGAAGATCCACATCCTGCAGAAAAAGGTACACAAGACATGTTCGAAAAGCACTGCTGACGGTTGAAGAACCTCAGCTTGCGATTCAGATGATCAGCAGTTTTACATGCGGATGCTTCATTCAACAGTACTGTACCAAGACAGGAACCAAAGTGTGTATAACTCCTCCCTATTAGCACAGACCCGCCCACACCTGCTGACAAACTCCTCCCTGTTAGCACAGACCCGCCCATACCTGCTGACAAACTCCTCCCTATTAGTACAGACCCGCCCACACCTGCTGACAAACTCCTCCCTATTAGTACAGACCCGCCCACACCTGCTGACAAACTCCTCCCTGTTAGCACAGACCCGCCCACACCTGCTGACAAACTCCTCCCTATTAGCACAGACCCGCCCACACCTTCTGACAAACTCCTCCCTATTAGCACAGACCCGCCCACACCTGCTGACAAACTCCTCCCGATTAGCACAGACCCCTCCCACAATGGTTTACTCCTCCCGATTAGCACAGACCCCTCCCACAATGGTGGATTCCTCCCTATTAGCATAGACCCCTACCACAACTGCTGACAAACTCCTCCCTATTAGCACAGACCCCTCCCACAACTGCTGACAAAATCCTCCCTTTTAGCAAAGACCCCGCCCACTGACAAACTCCTCCCTATTAGCACAGACCCCTCCCACAATAGTTGACCCTTTCCTATTAGCACAGACCCCGCCCACAACTGCTGACAAACTTCTCCCTATTAGCACAGACTCCTCCCACAACTGTTGACTCCTCCCTGTTAGTAAATACCCCCCCCCACAACTGCTGACAAACTCCTCCCTATTAGCACAGACCCCTCCCACAACTGCTATCTGCTTAAAAGATAATCTTTTAAGAGGTTTAGATTTTGCAGACTGTATGTTGGATTTTAGATGAAACTGTACACTGTATTGTGTTGAAGAAACTGACTGTATCAGACGATAATGTCCAGTTAATATCTCCTGTGCATGTTGGTGACGAGAAGATATGTCACAGATATGATCCTGTGATGTTATTGACACTAAATATGAAGACTTGAGCTTCATGTCCATCTCAAGAATGCTTCAAACTTCTGAAAGTGACTTGTGAGGATGTGCTACAAATTGAGGCGGCTTGGACCGGTCGTCGTCTGGACCCCTGTGGCGGTTTCAGTGGTGTATCTGCATATGTAATTGGAGCCAAACTCTCTCAATTAAGAGCACAAATGTTCTGAGTTTCGAGCCGCACAGAGAGAGTCTTGTTTAAACACACACCAATGCAGCGATTCTCTCACGGCCCCACAGATGCTCTCAATTACAGCCAAATTCACATGGAAATCTGGAGCATATCTCGCCTGGAGAAACTCGTAGTTAATCTGAATACACCATACTCAGAGCTGTAAACGTATCCCGCATGGTGAAAGAGAATGCTTTTATTCACTCTTTTCATCTCCCAATCATTATTATTTTTTTTTGGGTTAGTTTTACTAACTCAAATAAATTAGTTGAGATAAGTTTTTGCTTATTTTGTCAATTCAAATACATTTCACAGATCAACTGGATAAGAACAGCAAATTCAGTGTAGTTTAATTAAAATTCAAAAGATCACACACCTAATATTACTTTTCTGAAATTCAAAATAAAAAAAGTAAAAGCAAGTTGACGAAGGCCACGGCTTGCTCTGTTGGTGGTTTGGGGAGGCGGAGAAGACTTTTGTTGTGCATGAACACACACAATATATATATATGATAGACATGATTCGAATAGTTTAAATGGTCCTGAAAAGAATAGTCACTCGCGGCTCCTCGCGGTCAGAAACGCATTGGAAATGAATGAGAGACGAGTTTCCTCTAGTGGAAGCGTTTGGTACTGCAGCTGAACATCTCGCTGAACTCATCTCACTCATTTTTTGAGATATCAAGCTCAAATTTGTAACACAACTTGTTTAGTTTTTTGTTTGTTTTTGAAAATACATATTTCATTTAAAAATTTTTAAATAGTATTTAAACATAAAATTCTGTTACTTTTTTTTAAGTTCACCTTTTTCAACCTTTTCACTTCAGCAATAATCTGCCGAGTCTCGTCTTTGAAAAGAGATCAAACTTCAGTCTGTGATCCGAAGCGTTCAAGATTTACCACAGTGTTATTTAATTACTTCAATTTCATTTTCAGGTCTAAATGCTCAAAAGTTATTATATTGGTTGTAAATACAGCGTAAATATAATTTAATACAATAAAATCCCCTAAAATACAGATTATTAAATAAAAAATAATGCAATATAGTACATTAATTTCTTTGAAATTACAAAATTTTTTGACCGACATGTGAAGAGCACCAGAGGGTTATATATATATATATATATATACAGTATAAATGAAGCTTATCAGCCATTAGTTGCAGAAACATACACACTGCATCTTTGCTGAAGTCGTAACTGAAGTGATGTAACCAATTCTTGGAAATGCATTATCATTATTATTAGTAGTAGTAGTTGTATTTATTTTTTAAATTGGGCCCATGCAAGGTTTATGTTAAGTATTTCTCCTCATAATTACTTGGCAAATGAAGTGTTCACAGTGATGAATTGTGTGTGTGTGTCAGTCTGAGAACCTGCAGGAGCAGCTGAAGGACCGGGAGAAGCAGCTGGAGAGTCTGGGCAAGCGAGTGACGTCTCTGCAGAACGACTCCAGCAACTCCGACACCGCTCTCATTGCACTGGAGGAGGCTCTCTCGGAGAAGGTGCTCACACACCTACACACTCACCTGAAGAGTTCATCTACCTGGAGTTTCTGGAGATCCTGAAGACATGAGCTAAAGCCTGTGGTCACGTCTCTCCAGGAGTCGGAGTGGACACCCCTGCCATCTTTGTTCTAGAAGAAGTTTACTGTATGCAAATGATTAACCACTACTTTATCTTCTGTGACAGATCGAAGAGGCAGAAATGCATAAGAATGAAAATAAGGAGCTGAAAAGCAAACTCGCCTCCCTACAGGAGCGTCTCTCAGAGAAAGAGGTACGAGAGGAGAGTTGCATCACTTTTGCTCTCCAAAAACCTGCAATCCAGTTAAACCTGTAATGTTTTTGGTCGTGGAGAGAGAGATGAACTGAAATACAACTAAACAAGACACAGGTGAACATAATCAGAAACCCCGTAAACGAAACCTGAGACGTAAAAAAGGAAAGGTCCAGGTGAGAGACAAGTATTCTCATTATTAGAAGTCCGTGGACCAGCAGAATGATCTGATCAGATAAAAATTCCCTCCAAAATACAAAATATTACATAAAAACATTAGCAAAATAAAATACTGTACATTCATTTCATTGAAAAAAATTACATAAATTGACCGACACGTGAAGAGCGCCAGAGATGCATATCGTTGTCGTGTAAACATACGCTTAATCTGCATTATATCAAGATAATATCAAATATTAATTTAAGAGCTTCTGTTCCTCTCTCTTTTTCTGCAGTTTAATGTGGCCAAATTGTTGCTGCTTCTTAGTACCCAATTTTTGGGCCTAATTTTCATGATTACTTTTGCGAATTGGGTTATAAAACAAATATGTGGAATTAATGAACACTGTCAGCGGGTGCGACCCCTCGGTGTCACCGTCCCCTTTTCTTCAGCAACACTGCACTCCAACAGTCTCTGACACTAAATATGTCCTCATCTCCCCGTTATCCCTTTTTGTTCTTCATGTCGAGGCAATCAGAGTTTATGAGAATGTTTCTTTTATATTCTCTTGAGTAAACAGGCATCAGTCTAGGATAATTATACCTTCTTCTTGTCATGATGCCACATGTAGTGGTGGTTTCACAAGAGGAGCATTCATAAACACCCCGAGACTTTACAGCGCTAATAACAGTATCGGCTCGCGATCGCAGATAATGGGATATAGCCCACAGGCCTCTGCAGATTTACTGGATGGGATTTATTGCTTTGTTGCAGTTATGAGGAACATCAAGTTCAAACTAAGAAAAAAACAAAGTCACTGTCGGCAAAAACAGAAAGGATGATTTTGATTGGTTGAATTTTAATCTGTGTTTGTGTTTGTTCTACATCCAAAGCCTTTATTTATAACCCACTCATATCTCATTGCATAATTTTTGATTATCTGAACAAACAACATTACAATTGTACAACTGTACTTTATGATAGAATATCCAAACAAGCATTCATGACGGTAAGATTTTATTTTTCTATTTGTAAAGTAAACACTTAATTTTGTCATTTTATCTGAATGCCAACATTTGTATGATTTAGGGTATGTTTACACGACAGCGATGTGCTAGAAATGGACGTGTTTTTTGCGTACAGGCGACAACTTTCGTCAAAATGATCCTCGTTCACACGGGTCCGTCAGCACTGTATTCTGCTGTCAGGCCAGTAGGTGGCGATGTCACTGAGTAAACGCACGTAACACACATGATGTCACCGCTTTCACAAATTCATCTTTTTTGTAGTTTACACAGAGACGATAAAAATATCGTTTTCAAAAACGTGCACTTTAAAACCCATTTTTAAAGGTTTTCGTTTTCAGGCCCTCAAAACGCTATCGTTGTGTAAATGAACGGCCAAGATGCATTAAAAAAAATTCTGTATTTAGTTGAAAAATAAGATAAAATTAGACCTTTGGGGTCAGATGAACCACCCAGAATTGGCACAGATTTTTCTAGTGATATTATTTTTAAATTTAGTACTTACTGTAATTTGTGGGGTTACTATTTAAAAATTCCATTAATTAGATCACTCTGACTGTGGTTTGTATGTCAGTCAATGCAATTCCTGAATCTAGTGGTTTTCAGAATATTTCTGCTATTGACTCTGTTGTGTTTGTTTGACTGAGTGAAGGTGTGTGAAGCGGAGTGCGTTGCTCGCTGGAACCCGGAGCTGTCGGAGCGAGTGCAGGTTCTCCAGACAGAAGCGGTCCGTCATAAAGAGGAGGAGGAGAAGTGTAATGCTGAAGTGCAGCGAGTTCTGGCTCTCCTGCGGGACCTGCAGTCTGAACGCCTGGAGCAGGACAAGAGGATCCTCCAGCTGGAGAGGTACATGACAACCATATCTCCTTGAGTTTGTTGGGATCCCCCAACAAAACCATCATAAAAATGCATTTATCCATCATAAAAGTGCATCTATCCATCATAAAAGTGCATCTATCCATCATAAAAGTGCATCTATCCATCATAAAAGTGCATCTATCCATCATTAAATTGCACATATCATCATTAAAGTGCATCTCTCCATGATAAAAGTGCATCTATCCATCATAAATGTGCATCTATCCATCATAAAAGTGCATCTGTCCATCATAAAAGTGCACATATCATCATAAAAGTGCATCTCTCCATGATTAAAGTGCATCTATCCATCATAAATGTGCATCTATCCATCATAAAAGTGCATCTATCCATCATAAAAGTGCACATATCATCATAAAAGTGCATCTCTCCATGATTAAAGTGCATCTATCCATCATTAAATTGCACATATCATCATTAAAGTGCATCTCTCCATGATAAAAGTGCATCTATCCATCATAAAAGTGCATCTGTCCATCATAAAAGTGCATCTATCCATCGTAAAAGTGCATCTATCCATCATAAAAGTGCATCTATCCATCATAAAAGTGCATCTATCCATAATAAAGTGCATCTATCCATCATAAAAGTGCATCTATCCATCACAAAAGTGGATCTATCCATCACAAAAGTGGATCTATCCATGATAAAACTGCATCTATCCATCATAAAAGTGCATCTATCCATCATAAAAGTGCATCTATCCATCACAAAAGTGGATCTATCCATCACAAAAGTGGATCTATCCATGATAAAACTGCATCTATCCATCATAAAAGTGCATCTATCCATCATAAAAGTGCATCTATCCATCATAAAAGTGGATCTATCCATGATTAAAGTGCACATATCCATCATAATAGTGCTTCTATCCATGATAAAATGTTGGGAAAATGTTCATGATTTGAATCGTCAATGGCCAAGGAAAAATTATTTTGTTTCTAGCCCTTACAGTTCAAAAGTTATTAGCATAAACATAAGTGCAACTTTGGACAGTTGGTGGCGCTAGAGCGATCGAGATGGAGACTCCGAAATTGCTGAAATTGCACCTGAAATAATCTGTTGTGTTGCAGACAAGTGAAGGAGAAGAACCAGAATCCGTCTGCGAACCCGGGACAAACCGGAGAAGTGACTCCCAACACTCACACACAGGTACGAGTCCTCGTTCAGTTCTCACACATTATAACTGTCCTCAGAAATTGAATATAGCTTTATATTGCTGATTTATTCACACCGTTTATTGTGGAATAGAGAAAGTATACAGATAGATTGTAGATTTAAGACTATTTTCTATCGGTGTATCTTGGGATTGGATTCCTTATCCGGGTCGTTAGCATTGCTTTTCTGGCATTCCCCACGGTTGTGGATTTCTGTAACGGGGAAAGTGTAGTTCACACTGGCCAGTCTTCCGGCAGAACAACAGTTTTGTGAATATAGGCTTTGTTTGCCTTTATTTAAAGGTCAAAGCAGGTCCAGTGATCTTTTGGTGAAGTTATAGCAAAGAGCTTCACTGACACGTACTTCTCCAGCCTATCTTGATCCCTCCGTGTTTCCAATACAAATGTGAAAAGTACAAACGTTAATTTGCTAGTTTAGTGTGTTTGTGTATAATTATGATGAATACTGGAGGATATACATGGATCTGGTGTGATAAACAGCTGTATGTTTATATATAATCTTCTTCTCATAGTTGGAGGGTTTGATGGCGGCTCTGGACAACACCAGGAGAGAGCTGGACGCCACGCGGCAGCGGCTTTCTTCTACACAGGACACTCTTTCTGCACACGACGCTGAGCTGAGCCGGTTACGAGACGACCACAGTCAACAGCTCGCAGAGATCCTGCGCTTAAAGTGAGGTCTTCAACAGCGCTGACCCGTCAGTGTTCATGTTCCTCTTTCAGAGCTATATCTATCATATTCAGTAACACTTTACTTGAATGGGTGTGCATAAGACTGTCATTATAAACAAAGACTGTGACCATTATAAGATTTTAATGACAAATTAAATGTGTACCACTGAAAAATATTCATGACACAGTTATAATGGCCCTATCATGACAACATCAAAACCAACCACATGACAGTTTAATGTAATGTTAACCCATAAAGCTAAGCGGTTTCTTAAGTTTGATAATTAATCTGTTATGTCATGTTTATGACTTGGTAATGTTAAATTGTCATGACAAAAACACTGACAGGTTATGATGTATTAGTTTATGTCAAGTTGTCATAACCAAGACATCTCAAACAATGTCATATTTGCATTAAAAATTTCATAATTGAGCGAATGACACTTAATGACACAGTTGTCATAAACATGCATAAACCCTCCTTCATATTCATGACTAGGGTTGGGTATCGAGAATCGAGTATCGATTGGAACCGAGACTAACTTTTCGTTTTTCCCGGAATCGTTCAAAAGTTACAATTTCGATTCCTAGTTTCGATATTCACAGTCCGCCGAGCGGAAGAAGAAACCGCTGAACAACACCAACGAAGAAGCGTCTACCGGAAGTGTTGGCATAACCGTGCGAGTCGAACATGAGTAGCTTACGTCGGCGGTCCAAAGTGTGGCTTCACTTTTCTAAAAATTAACGAAATCTCGGCAAAATGCAAAATTTGTGACAACAGGAGTATTTGTGAGAGGAGTATTTCCTTCAGAAAGGCCGTTGGTTAGCAAGGTTAGCTAAACTTTTTTGACCCTGCCTCTTAAAAGAATCGGAATCGAGAATCGTTAGGAACCGGAATCGAAACAAGGAATCGGAATCGGAATCAGAATCGTTCAAATTCAAACGATACCCAACCCTATTCATGACGTGTCATGTCATGATTATGAAGGTGTCATGTCACTCTTATGCACACCCCTTCAAGTAAAGTGTTACCTAAAATTTTAATATAGAGCCAATAGTGCTTTGTTCAAGCTCCCTATCGCTCTCTCCGTCCCTCACTGAACACTAAAGCGCCGCACACGACCCATCGTTTCAGCAGCAGAAGCAAAAAACACACTTTTGCTAAAACACTGCAGCTAATAGACTTATTTTACCTGTCACCCAGATGACTCCGACCGTTCAACTAAACCGAGACTAATTTAATGTGTGGCGTCTTTAGATGTCTTTCATATATTCCACAATATTACTCAGCATATAAAGAGCATTTCATAATAAACAGTGTTAGAATTTGGAAAATTATTTCGAGTTGGCAGGGAAAGAAAAACTTTTAAATTACTTGTTAACTTTGTTTTGTCCTCATGATGACAGTTTTGATTATTAGATACCCAGACAGCAAACTGACATTGAATCAACGTGGAAAAATGACATCGAAACAACGTTGATCTGACATTGTTTTGCTCATCGAATTAAACCAACGTCGAACGCGTCATTCTTTCAAAACTAACGGAAAAATCAACTTGAAATCAACGTTGTTTCAATGTTATGAAAGCAAACCAATTTTTCGATTTTCATTTAGCTTTGAAGAATGCCGCGTCTGACGTTGGTTCAACGTTAATTCGATGAGCAAATCAACGTTGTTTCAATGTCATGAGAGACGTCGTTTCCACGTTGATTCAATATCAGTTTGCTGTCTGGGTATGTACTAAAGTAAAATATAAAAATGGTCCACACTTTTCTGAAGAGGTACGACGAACACAAATGTGTCTAAATGTAAAATAAATAGCCAGTTAAAACATCTAATCTAGCCTTTTTATGTTCATATCCAGTAGGGAGAAATATTTACTTTTAATATAAACTTTTTTTGTGGAACCAGCCGATAATCACGTCCTTTTACTTGATATGTGGTGTCTAAACATGCAGATTACTTTTATTACTTTTACACAATAGACATAAGCGTGTTTGAAATTGTTGCGAATGTAAATTCAATCTACTTTCTTAAGTAGCTCCCAACCGAATGACACGGACAACAGCTGCTGTTAAAGGAATAGTTCACTTATAAATGAAATTTCTGTCATAATTTTCTTGCCCTCAAGTTGTTTCAAACCTGTACGAGTTTCTTTCTTCTGTTGAACACAAAGATAGAAACTCTTACAGGTTTGAAACAACTTGAGGGCAAGTAAATGATGACAGAAATGTACATTTAAGTGAAGTATTTCCTTTAAGTCCGCATGTGCTGTTGTCCTTCCCTCTCCTCTGAACACTTCTCCTCATTACAGCTCACGCTAATGGCTGCCAGATCCCTAAAAAACTAAACTGCTCTAATAAATAAAGTGAACTCATTTGTGCTCGGGAAAGAGATTGGGCTCTCAAAACAATGCACGGGAAAATGTGTACAGATTAAGACAACAGAAAAGTGGCTTAATACCTGCAGAACTGGTTCAAAGAATCAAGAGAATCAGACAGGATCAAAAAATGGCTCATGGTTTTTATAGTTGCGTCAAACAATAGTTTCTCTGTGAGAGAGAGATATGTTTAGAGAAGTCTAATGGCAGCGGTTTGTTAAGATTCCCTGCCGGATCGTTTGGGTTTAATTGTGCTCCACACACAGCCTCGATTCTTCCGATCACAGGAGCCGGGGACTGTGAGTTATCACTGAAACGCTCCTGCTGTGTTCTCGGTTGTGTGTTTACTGTATTTGGTGTTTGTGTCTGCTTCTATTTAAGTAATGGTTTACCGTAACCCCCTCCCTCCCCTTCCCATCAGACACCAGGCTCTTCTGGCCGCCGGAGGACAGGATCCACGAGAACTGTCTCCCGCCAGGAACATGTCGACCCCTGAAGACGTGATGACCTTGAGGAGAGAGAAGGAGAGGTTCAGGAATCAACAGGTCAGTTCATTCCCCCTGTGGTTTTATTCTTTCAATGTATGTGAGTAATCCCAATCATCCAGTCCTGTCAATCATCACTACGAGTACATAAGCCAATAGACAATAGACACTAAAACCTGTCTTGATCAACGTCACACACACACATCAGTTCAACAAGTGGAAGTTTGATCAGAAAACTAATCAGAAAGAAATCACTGGAAAGATCGCAAAACCTACATGATGAAAGTGAGCGTTTGCTGGCGTTTTTGTTGTTTACTTGAAGATTTAAAAGCCAAGCGCTGATGTTTCTCCACAGGTTTACAGTGTAAAGTGACACACTGATCCTAATGAGTCAACTTGCGTCAACATTGCACATTAGTCACACAGAAATAAAGTGGTTTGCGTCATTTTCCACCAAAAACACGACCTGAGGAGCGTTATCACTCTCCCGGTACAGTCAGAGACACAGAGAAGCTCCCGAAAAACACTATTTTATGACATACGCAGAGCTAAATATGGATATCAGACAGTCCGGTATAAAGACACGAGACGTTCTGACAGATAAATAAAAACATGATTATGATAACGTTCATGATCTGTCTGATTTCTTCAAGCGGTCATGTTTACTATGGGCACTAGTCTTTTGAGTCGCGTATAAATACTTCTGCCTCATACGGTGATCAGAATCCACGTCACATCTCAAACAAAAGGTATTCAAATATTAAAAGTGTGTAAAGCTGATGTTATGAGATGATGTAAACTCTTCCTCTGTCCGTAACCGCTCCTCAGGCTTGGGAAAGATGTTACACTGTCTGAACCAGGCTCAATATGACAAGATCCCAAACTAAATATGAATATTCTGGACAGTGGACACAGCCAATCAAATCAGTGTGTGCTCGATTTCTGGCTCACTGATCACTCTTCATCGATGACGTGCTTCAAACCAATGGAGAACATGCAGCATAGCTTGTGTTTTTATGACGCTCCTTCAGACGGCATGTGTTGTGGGATTTGTCACAGTCTCTGTTTCTCAATCACTTGTCCATGTTTGATGTTTAATTCATGATGAGGAGCACGCAGTTTTAGTTAAATGGACACCGGTTGAGAGCTCTTTCCATCTGGAATTCAGTGCATTTAATCCCAGTGCCTCATTGAGTTATTCACAAAGGGTTAATAAATATTTAGTAATAAACACTGCCCGTAACCAACATTGACGGTAACATGCATGTAGACTGTTTGTGAGTCAGTGTCTGAGGGGGTTTGTGGGAATGTAGTCTCTAGGCCAAACACATGACTTGTAAACAGTTGGGAAGGAGAGAAGGAATTTGAGGGAAGTGGCCATTATCTGTTTATCACCGCTATTATTGTGTATTTTATTCGGATGAAATTGGAAGTTCATAAAATTACAAACCCTGTTTTTCTCTTTGCTGTTATGTTCATTTTGAGAACATGTTGCAGGAGCTATGCCTCTTCTGATGACCGTCACTGATTTTCTACAGATACCAACACAATAATAATAATAAACTTCTTAAAAAGTACCTTTCGATCCTGCTGGCGTGTCTGGCTTTCCAATGACTCCAGAATCTCTTTGGGTTGTTTTTAACGATGTAAAAGCTCAAATGCGCAGAGACACGTGTCACAGTCCCTGCTGAAAAAAAACAATAGAAACCATTACAGAAATGGTAATGGTTTCCACTACAAAACCATTACAAACCATCATTAACCATTAAAACCATTACAAAATGGTGTCCATTACGTAGTGTGTTTTGGGCCATATTCTATTAGGATGTATTGGTTTGTATAGGTTTCCATTACAAATTTGTATTGGTTATGATATATTTAATGGTTTCCATTACAGTTTGTATTGGTTCTGATTTGTAATGGTTTCCATTACAAACATGTATTGGTCATGATTTGAGCATATTTAATGGTTTCCATTACAAATTTGTATTGGTCATGATTTGAATATATTTAATGGTTAGGACAACCTATGTGTGTGGGTCAGGTTTTGACCTGATCACTCCCGACAAGAGCTGTTAAACCTGAAATCACATGATGGGACCAATGTTTTGACCAATGGCTATGACCAGTTTTTAAAAACTGTATCTAGCCTATTAATCATGTGTAGCCTACATTTAATCATTATTATCAAACCAAAGGAAACACTAAATTTATTGGAGTCCTAATGGTTCATAATGGTGTCCAGTAGATACCAACATGTAACCTATAATTTTCAAAGGTGTTCTATTGGTCCTTAATGGTATCCAATAGAAAACAAATACCACCAATAGAAGAGAGCTAATTACCAATAGAGACTTACTAGGACCATCACAGTTTCAATTAAAGCCAATACAGAGAAAAAGACAAAATATGCCACCAATAGAAGAAAACGAATTACCAATAGAGACCTACTAGGACCATTAAAGTTTCCATTAAAACCAATACACTTCCCTTTATAACCATTAAAACCATTAGGAATTCTGTAATGTTTCTATTGTTTTTTTCAGCAGGGAGTGGATTTTCGTTTCTAGTTTGTTACCATGGTTTCTAATTGAGTCTCATCTGTTAACGATCATCTCTGTTTATAAGACCTCGGTGTCATTAATGTTACAGGCACTGTAGTGTTTTCTAGTTCTCTGTGTTTATTAAAGTTTCTTGGTATTGTGTATTCTGCGTCACACATCTCGTCTTTGTGGATTTACACCACACACACTACTGTGACGGTTTTTATTGGTATGTGGTTCCCACTTAAGTGTGTTTAGCTACTATGTATTAACATTTAAATGAATAATTTGATACTGATCCTGTCCATCAGGCTCATAGTAGGATGAAGCACATGGCAGAACATTATGAAGATGGACACATTCGTCCACAGTATTCCCATCATCCTTCTCCTCACGGACAGCAGCGGGAACTGATCTCACCCCCGCCGGAGCCGGAGCAGGTCAAACACACTCTCACGCAAACACACTCACACAAACGCCCTATCTTAATGATCTGAAACGCAAGTATTAAACACGAAACGCAAGATTGTGCTGGGTGTGAGATAGGGCCCTGTGTGTGATATCCCAGACTGCAAACTGATATTGAATCGACGTGGAAACGACGTCTTTTAATGACATCGAAACAACGTTGATCTGGCATTGTTTTGCTCACCGAATTAACGTTGAACCAACGTCAGACGCGTCACTCTTCAAAGCTAAATGAAAATCGAAAATTGTTTGCGTTCAACGTTGATTTCAAGTTGATTTTCCGTTAGTTTTGAAAGAATGACGCGTCTGACGTTGGTTCAACGTTAATTTGATGAGCAAAACAATGTCAGATCAACGTTGTTTCGATGTCATATTTCCACGTTGATTCAAAGTCAGTTTGCTATCTGGGATCTTATCATTAGGACTTTGAATTAGAATCAGAAAGCGTAATTTATGTAGTGTTTTGTGTACCGGGTATTTCTATATATATAGTAATATGTTGTGTGTTTGTTTAAGGATGACGAGGATGGCATATGGGCCTGACAAACCAGATTTGGGTCATGCACTGAAGGGTAAGTGATGCAGATGTTTATACTGTTTTTGTTCTTATTAGCTTCAAATATCTCAGATCTCCATAAATGAACATCAGCTGCTGGTTATTAACCCTATATAACAGCATATAGCCCAGCAGTGGGACCACTAGCTTCTACAGTTACTGATTATGTTGCACACCTGTGTCTTGTTGAGCTCTTGTTAAATCCTCAGTTTCTTCTGGTCATTGTTCAGGATTGTCTTTGCTAATTTGTGTAAAGCTGTTTCGTGAGTTTCGTGTCTGTTATTTTCCATGTATATGCAGCAAACAAACAACATTCGCTGCTAATAGATCCTCCAATCCAGCCGTTGCATCACGAACACTCCAGCACAACTACATCAGATGCTTTCAAAATCCTCAATATATTTTGATTAACCGGTTTAAATAAAGGGCTGTCGGGTTTCCATGGCTGGACATCCTCTTTTGGCGACTGCTGTGTGTGTTTTTCAAACGATTCAGCTTCTCAGTTTGTGACCAAAGCTGTGTGTGTTGTGGAAATGAGGATTTAGCTAGTCAATCCGCTGTTGTTAGTTTTAAAATGACTCTTTTGCACTAGCAAGGCTTCCGCTGTACCAAAGCAAGACAATTAATCTGTGGCAAAACAAAGTAGTTCCTGTTACTCTTCTATTGTCTCTTATAAGCCTAGCAATGGTGGATTATAATAAACTAAAGCCTTTTTCTATTCCCAGTTCAGAACTGGGGCTCCAGGACACTGGACCCGAGCGTGAGCGGGTTTGACCCGCCAGATCATCACAACAATGAGCGTTCTCCAAACCAATCCTCCATTCTCACCGATGCAGTGCGAGATGAAACTGAAGAATCCTCACAAGTGCACGTCTCAACCAAGACCAGAGTTATTCTGAAGGACTCGCACACTGAGGTACCCGTACAAACTCACTGATGCAGCTGAAGGATGATCCGAGACTCTGGATCTGAGCTTGAGGGGGATTGACCCGCCAGAACACCAGTTCTCCTTGACATCCAGATAAATGCAAGACTTGGAGGACTTGAGAAAGAAAAGGTGCTCCTGAACACCTCACATCGGACATGATGTTTAAGGGCCAGATTTACTAACAGTGCGGGTCGGCACAAACCCTCTTTCGGCCTTACAAACTGAGTTTCAGGAGTTGTTCTGTCAGTTTCTGAACATTGATCTGGAAGACAGTACCCGAACATGTCGTTTGCTAACATTATTTCTACACACTTCCCAATTAAACAAACTCTATTCAACTCATCAGTTTATTAGAGACTTCAGGACCAGATTAGAGAGGCATCCATGTGCCTTCAGGAGCAGTGTTGGTAAAACACGTCTGAGGTGTTCGAGCTTTCTGACTTCCTGCCTGTGTGAGAGAGAGTGTGTATCGCAGTGTTTGGGTGGTGTGTTAGACTGCCTTGTAAAGTGTTGGAAGCGACCGTTTTCTAAAAGCAGCTTTTAAAAAAAAGTATAAAGGTTTCCTGTTCGTGTTGTGAGCTAGAATATACTCTGGGGTCTCTTTAGAAAGTGGAGATGCACAAATTGTAATAGAGCTTTACACAACATCCTACTGTGTGTGTGTGTGTTTGTGTATGTGTGTTTGAGAGAGAGAGAGAGAGAGAGAGAGAGAGAGAGAGACTGTTTGATCACAAATTTCATAATCCTATTGTTTTGTTTTTGTACTTTTATTACTTTTCTCTGGATTTCTTTGAGGCGCGTCCTCTTTACCTCCGTTCAGAAACTGCTCTTCAGTCATGTTGTGACCTGTGTGTTTGAGTCAACAGATGACAAGAGGAGGAAGTGAACACCTCTTTCTCTCTCTGTCTGTGTGTGTGTGTGTGTGTGCAAGGGAGAGCAAGAGAGAGATTAGAGGGGCTTTCTTTTCTTTTTCAGAGCTTCCTTTTTTTTTTTAAATACAAACAGAACACACACACACACACACACACACACAGGTAGCAAGAACAAATGTTGTGTTTACCAAGAGTTTAAATATGAATTTGACAAAGAGTGTGATTCCAAATGTCTGGCAGATTTCTTCAAATGAAATGCGCAGTAAACTATGAATGATGCCCCTGGGTCTGCAGTGTGTACGTGTGTTTACGGGCGTTTATAGGTGTGTACAGGTGTGCACGGGTGTTTACGGGCGTTTATAGGTGTGTACAGGTGTGTGCGGGTGTTTAGGCAAGGTAAGGCAAGTTTTTTTATATAGCACATTTCATACACAATGGTAATTCCAAGTGCTTTACATAGAGAAAATTAAAATAATCAAAAGAAATCAAAAGAGTAATTAAAACAGTTTAGAATAAAACGGGTGTGTACAGGTGTTTACAGGTGTGTACGGGTGTTTACATGTGTGTACGGGAGTTTATGAGTGTGTACGGGCAGGGCTCAACATAAAAAAAATCCCCACTGGCCCCCGGGGCCAGTAGATCAGAGTTTTGCTGGCCCCTTCTATACTTTGACTGGCCCTGAAAGAAATACAAGGAAAAGCACTTCTCCATTAAACTGTATTTATTGTATACATTAGGATTAATCAAAAAGTGAAGGAAGTTCAGGAATTAAGAGAGAGACCCTGGAGATATGCAAAAATAACCTAATTTCAGCGTCCAGTAGATTATTTGTCAATACCTGCTCTCTCCTCATCTCGATCACTCTCTCTCTTTTCCCCTCAGTCTCCTCATCTTATGCTGTGATGGGAAGGACGTTGCGCTGGACAGAATGCAGTTTTTAATGGTTTTACCTCAAATATATTCTATAATCTTTGGAAGCTGAAATCTAAAATAAAATCCTACTAAGAGCTAAAGTGTAACCATAACTTAAATGTTTAGTTCTGTCCTCCGTCAGTTTTTAAACACAGATGCGTGATGACGCTGCGCGTGCTTTAGAAACGCACCGTGTTCTGAATCTGCTTGCTTCTATTTTCTCGCTCTCTCTCTTCCTCACTCACACACACGACACCGCTCGAACCTTCCAAAACATAGTAACGTTATTTTATAAAGGTCGGGGTTGAACCAAATTACAAGGACATTCGCGGGCTTCATTGAACAGGTTGCTTGATGTTATAACGTTACACTTGCAGTGCGCGTTCTCTCCCGCGGGTATTTTCTTTAAAAATGCTTCACAGAGGCATTATTTATGTATTTTGGAATGCAGTTGGCTTATATTAAAACCATGAAAATCACGAGAAGGCTGCTTTCATTTTAAAATACTAACCCGTGCTTTGTGAAGAGCGCTCGTGCATGCGGCCGTGAGCGACTCATTGGTAAATGCATGTCAAAATGCTTTTATGACGCGAAATTTATGTAACCACGGTTAGTTATATCTTAAACCAACAGGACAAACCACATTTACAATTTCAAAAGAGATATATGCATTAGTGTGAATGCAGCTTATCGTATCTAAACTGAGGGGATCACTCCAGCTCTTGAATGAAAAACATTCAGACAGCCTACTTTTAAATACTGAGACCACTCTTTGTTTATTGCTTGTAATGTTTTTTTTTGTTGTTTCTCTTTATTTACTAGCTTTTATATTTTGAAGCTATATTATTTTATATAGCCTATTTAAAATTCTTAACATGTAATTGGTTTAATTAAATGTTTTTTTTATATTTATTTTTAAAGTATGTGTTTTTACACATGTAATTAAATACATATTTTAAGAGTTATTAAGATTAATTAATAAGAAAAAAAGTAGATTGGATCATGAGCTATCTAAAGATTCCCATCCCCACTGTACAATGATTTATTGCTTGTCTTTGTCGACTAATACAGAAGGTAAATAACTTTTTTTTAAATCGCATATTAAATCGCAATCGCAATATTGGTTAAAAAAATCGCAATTAGATTATTTTCCAAAATCGTTCAGCCCTTGTAGTTTTGTTTCATTAAAACAGTGTTTGCTTTTTCTTAATTTGCCTTTATTTGACAACATGCCCCATAGGTGGAGTTCATACATTTACATTTCATTTAGCCGACACTTTTATCCAAAGCAACTGATAAATGAGAACAGAAGCAGTGAAACTAACAGTAGAACAACCAAGCAATTGCTGATAGGGAAATTGGGAAGATTGGAGAAACTTAATTTTTCGCCCGAAAAAAAAAAAAACGTAAGGGGTACCACTGTCGTTTTTTTTTCGGGCCGAATTTTTGAGTTTCGATATCTCAGCTCTGGAAGGGTCTAGAGCATCCATTTTTGCACTCAGGTCTAAACCTCATGGCCCTCCATCAGAATCCACAATTTTGACAAGATTGGAGAAACTTCATTTCTCGCCCCCCCCAAAAAACGAAAGGGGTACAAGTGTCGTTTTTTTCGGGTCGAAATTTTGAGTTTCTCTGATCTTCTTGAAACTCTGGATTCTGATAGAGGGCCATGAGACTTAGATCTGAGTGCAAAAATGGAGGCTCTAGCCCCTTCCAGAGCTGAGATATCGAAACTCAAAAATTCGGCCCGAAAAAAAAAACGACAGTGGTACCCCTTACGTTTTTTTTTTTCGGGCGAAAAATTAAGTTTCTCCAATCTTCCCAAAACTCTGGATTCTGATAGAGGGCCATGAGACTTAGACCTGAGTGCAAAAATGGAGGCTCTAGCCCCTTCCAGAGCTGAGATATCGAAACTCAAAAATTCGGCCAGAAAAAAAAAACGACAGTGGTACCCCTTACGTTTTTTTTTTCGGGCGAAAAATTAAGTTTCTCCAATCTTCCCAAAACTCTGGATTCTGACAGAGGGCCATGAGACTTACACTTGAGTGCAAAAATGGAGGCTCTAGTCCCTTCCAGAGCTGAGATATTAAAACTCAAAAATTCGGCCTGAAAAAAAAACGACAGTGGTACCCCTTACGTTTTTTTTTTCGGGTGAAAAATTAAGTTTCTCCAATCTTCCCAAAACTCTGGATTCTGATAGAGGGCCATGAGACTTACACCTGAGTGCAAAAATGGAGGCTCTAGCCCCTTCCAGAGCTGAGATATCGAAACTCAAAAATTCGGCCCAAAAAAAAAACCGACAGTGGTACCCCTTACGTTTTTTTTTTTGGGGCGAAAAATTAAGTTTCTCCAATCGTCCCAAAACTCTGGATTCCGATAGAGGGCCATGAGACTTAGACCTGAGTGCAAAAATGGAGGCTCTAGCCCCTTCCAGAGCTGAGATATCGAAACTCAAAAATTCGGCCAAAAAACGACAGTGGTACCCCTTACGTTTTTTTTTTCGGGCGAAAAATTAAGTTTCTCCAATCTTCCCAAAACTCTGGATTCTGATAGAGGGCCATGAGACTTAGACCTGAGTGCAAAAATGGAGGCTCTAGCCCCTTCCAGAGCTGAGATATCGAAACTCAAAAATTCGGCCCAAAAAAAAAAACGACAGTGGTACCCCTTACGTTTTTTTTTTCGGGCGAAAAATTAAGTTTCTCCAATCTTCCCAAAACTCTGGATTCTGATAGAGGGCCATGAGACTTACACCTGAGTGCAAAAATGGAGGCTCTAGCCCCTTCCAGAGCTGAGATATCGAAACTCAAAAATTCGGCCCGAAAAAAAAAACGACAGTGGTACCCCTTACGTTTTTTTTTTTCGGCGAAAAAATTAAGTTTCTCCAATCTTCCCAAACTCTGGATTCTGATAGAGGGCCATGAGACTTAGACCTGAGTGCAAAAATGGAGGCTCTAGCCCCTTCCAGAGCTGAGATATCGAAACTCAAAAATTCGGCCCGAAAAAAAAACGACAGTGGTACCCCTTACGTTTTTTTTTCGGGCGAAAAATTAAGTTTCTCCAATCTTCCCAAAACTCTGGATTCTGATAGAGGGCCATGAGACTTACACCTGAGTGCAAAAATGGAGGCTCTAGCCCCTTCCAGAGCTGAGATATCGAAACTCAAAATTCGGCCCAAAAAAAAACGACAGTGGTACCCCTTACGTTTTTTTTTTGGGCAAAAATTAAGTTTCTCCAATCTTCCCAAAACTCTGGATTCCGATAGAGGCCATGAGACTTTAGACCTGAGTGCAAAAATGGAGGCTCTAGCCCCTTCCAGAGCTGAGATATCGAAACTCAAAAATTCGGCCAAAAAAAAAAAAACGACAGTGTGTACCCCTTACGTTTTTTTTTTGGGGAAAAATTAAGTT